GCACCACCACCACGAATATCAACAACACTCAATCGCACAGCCCGGAAACGATGTTTACAGCGGTGATTCCGTGTTTACGGTCAGAGCACATGTTTTTTTTTTCTCATGAGCGCCGTGCAGGTGCAGGTGCACACGTGCACTCGTGTTGTGATATTCTCAACCATGTTGACTAACAAAGTGGATGCCGGACAACACGGATGATTGGCAACATTGACGACTGACACGTTCCGTCCCCCTCCCTATCTCACTCTCTTCATGCCACCTTGGTCACCAGCAGGGATCGAGTCCCTCAACTGCGGCGCCGTCTGCCGCACACACAACCGGCGACATCACGCCCAGAGGTGTTGCATACACAGAGGGGAGGGAGGTGGAGGCAGGGGATGTGGAGCTGGGAGTGCGCACGGATTGACACACACACGCGCGCACAGACACACGCACACACATAGACACACGCACACACACACACACACACAGACACACGCACACACAAAGACACACACACGCACACGCACGCCGGCACGCATTCAACACATGTGATGTTGTTCCTCTCTCTCTCTCTCATATCTATCCACCTCACTCCCATGTCATGACGACGGCGCAGGTGGCGTGAGTTCACGTGGAAGCACGAGCGATCCGCCCTCGCGATTCGGTGCAGATTTGGCGTCCCTCATCGCTGGCAAGGTCACGCCAAGTGCAACTGCAAGCACATCAGGTGCGTGCGTGTGTGCACATATGATTGTACATGTGTGTATGTGCGTGTGTGCACATGTGTGTGCATGTGTGCGTGTGTGTACAAGTGTGTGTGTGTGTGTGTGCTTGTATGTGCATCGCCGTCAATGCAAGTGTTTGTGGCTCATTTCCTTCCATTCTAATGCCCGAGCTTCAACATGTTCTTGTGTTCCGTTCCACTCTCGCTTTGTGAGCAGGTGATGATCTTGTGTTTGAGAGCTCGGAGGAGATGAGACAACAGCTGCTCGCGCTGCGCAAACAACTGCAGCACACGACATCTGTCCTGCACGAGAGCGAGGCCAACGTTGGTCGCCTGGTTGAGGAGAACAAGGTTTGGTTCGCTGCGCATGCAACTGTGTGGCTGTGTTGCAGTCTTTCGAGTGCGCAAGTTTTGCATGTTGTGTTACGCACACACTCACACACATGTACAAACACCTGACACACACACACACACACAAACATGTAAACAAATGCTGATGCAGCTGCTGAAGACGGAGATACGGCGGGACGAGTTGAACGAGCAGCGGAAAGGGCTCAACCTGGAGTACCTCAAGAACGTGGTGCTGACGTTTCTTCGGTCGCGCGACGAGCGGGAACAGCTGCTGCCAGTCATCTCGACGCTGCTGCGCCTCACGCCAGAGGAGATGCGGTCGCTGCAGCGCGCGAATGTGTCGGACGTGCCCTTTGGCGACGGCTGGTTCCCGCGGTGGCAGTGATGCGTGCGAGCGCTTTTTGTGACACGTGGCTGTTGTTGTTGTTGTTGTTGTTGTTGTTGTTGTTGTTGTTGTTGTTGTTGTTGTTGTTGTTGTTGTTGTTGTTGTTGTTGTTGTTGTTGTTGTTGTTGTTGTTGTTGTTGTTGTTGTTGTTGTTGTAGTTGTTTTGTGTGTGGCGCGACGTTGTGGTGTCACTCATGGAATGAGCCAGTGGTGCTGGTTGGGAGGTGTGTTGGTTTGAGGTGCAGAGGCATGTTACACCGTCACTGTCGACTTGTTGTCTCGTCCGCACGAGCAGTTGTTAGCTCTAGTTCAACGCACTGTACAAACGAATGTTGAAGATTGATGTGATCGACTTGTGGTAAGGAGCAAAGCCACATCAAGATATCAAGAAGATCAGGAAGATCAGGAAGATCAACACTTACCACACACACACACACACACACACACACACACACACACACACACACACACACACACACACACCATTTTTTTCTTGCGTGCACATTGCACTACTGTTGCACATTGCTTTGCTTCTGCTCTCGTTGTGTTGCTTGATGGAGGAGGCAGCGAGGGTGTTGAAGCGCCCAAAGTCGGAGGGCGTGCTTGGCGGACAAGAAGAAGAAGAAAGAGAAGGACAGAGGGTCACGCGGGCAAGCGCAAGGCGAAGGAAGCAAGCACAATCCAAGGAACACAAGAAGCAGGAAGACACGTCAATGGCGATGACGAGTGCGGCGCGGCGGCACATCCTGATCACGGGCAGTCCTGGAACGGGCAAGTCAACGCTCGTGTCGAAGCTGATTGCGCGCTTTAAGGACAAGGGTGTTCCCATGCAAGGGTTTTGGACCAAGGAGGTGCGGCAGGGCGGAAACAGGATTGGGTTCGACGTGGTGACTCTGGACGGCAAGGTGAGAAGGATGTATGGGACAGAGGGGTGTGCAGTGTGCGTGCGTGTGCGTGTGTTACTGCGGAGTCACGGTGCGCGTGCCACCGCAATTGATTTGTTGCCATGTGCACGTCCCACATGAAGACATGACGCTGGATAAGCCTCACGGTTTGTCAGTCTACGGCCACCCACAACTGCCTACTCTCTTGCTCCAGTGTTTGTTGTATGTACTCCTGTACTCACATCCACCACGCCTGCACACCTTCTCTGCTTGACTTTGTATCGCACAGGAGGGCGTGCTGAGCCGTGTCGGAGCCAAGGGCCCCCGTGTCGGCAAGTATGGCGTGAACGTGAAAGAGTTTGAGGAGCTTGCCCTGCCGTGCCTTCGAGCGGGCCCAGTGCAGAAGCAGGAGCAAGGCGGCGAAGAAGCAGGACAGCAGGGACGACAGCGGCAAGCAGTGCGCCTTGTGGTTGTGGATGAGATTGGCAAGATGGAGCTCTTCTCGCAGCCGTTCATGACAGCGTACAAGGGGCTGCTTGATAGCGCGGCTGACCGTGGCGTCGTAGTTGTGTCCACAATCGCCAAGCGGGGCCAAGGGTTTATTGCCGAAGTGAAGAGCAGGCCCGACGTTGACCTGCACGAGATAACGCGCGCCAACCGCGACGCCAAGTTTGAAGAGCTTGCCTCCACTCTCCTGCGCCAACTTCGCCCCTCATCATGAGCAGGGGAGTGGAGAAAGAGGGGACGGAAGGGGGGAGTGAGGGGAGTGAGAAGTAGGAGAAGGAGAACGGACTGGACTGGACTGGGGTCAGCGAGAGAGCAAGAGAGGTAGAGAGAGAGCAAGAGAGAGGGGAGAGAGAGGGCGAGTCGTGGTGTCAGTGTCCATCCATATCCGTTGCTTTGTTCGCTGGCAAGCGCGCGGTTTCGTTGACATTTTCCCATAAATTTCACACCGTCAACAGCCACCAGTGTGCAACAGCGCCACAGCAAACGACACACACATCGACCTCCCACACTCCACCACTCCACCACTCCACCACCAACCGAACGAACACCGACCATGGCTGGCGACTTCCCCGTGGGCACGAAAGTGTGGGCAAAGTGGAGCAAGACGTTCTACCCTGGAAAGGTGAGAAAACCAACAAGCGAGTTTGACTGCTAGCGAATGGTGACCGTGGCGGTCAACCCTCGTGTTGGTTATGGTGGTGTCGTGGTCCATTCAACAAACACGCATGTTTGTGCCACCAACAACGTCGCTTACCCGCACACACACATCTGTACAGGTTTGGGAGCCAACGGCGGAACAGAGCGCTGCCATGCCCAAGAGCAAGCCCTACTTTGTCTTTTATTACGGCGCCCCGATCAACGCATGCTTGTCAGTCGTCTCGATGTCGTTGTGGCGCGCTTGGTCGTCATGGCTTGTAGCTCTTTGTGGCTTGCGCCCACACACAACCATGCACGCTTCTTTCCTGCAACATGCCTCACCCACACACCCCCTCACACACGCACACACTGTTGTTGCAGTGGTCACCATTCCAAGAAGGAGCTGCATCGCTTTGATGACGAGGAGTTCACTGCCAAGATGAAGGTGTCCGCAATGCTGTCGCACGTATCGTGTCGGTTATGGCTCTGAAAGAGACACTGTCTGCAACATGCGTTGGCCACACGTTCTCATGTTCGCCAAGTTCACCGCACTGCTCATATCCATGCCCATGGCTGTGCCCACCTTTGCAGAAGAAGAAGCTGTCTCGCGACATCAAGGCAGGCCTTGAGGTGTGTACTCCTGCCTGATGACGCGGGGGACCAGGTCTTGGTGGTTGTCGTGGTGCATTTGCTGCTGATTTGCTGCTGCATTTGCTGCATTTGCTGCTGCTCTGGTCCCTTGGTTTCACCTGGTACGTCATAGTACGTCGTGCTGTCGTCTCATCGCACCCCTTCCCCCACTTGCTGTCCAACTTCCAGGCCATTGATGACCCCGCCGCCCAGCCTGAAGTGCTGCTCGCGTAAGACCACCACCCACGCGCGCGCACACCACCCATTCCCCTGCACGTGTGATGTTGAAAGCGAGAGCAACGTGTGCTGCATGCTGCGGGCCGTGCGAATGCGCGTGCGTGCGTGCGTGTGTGTGTGTGTGTGTCGCGTGCTTGCGTGTGTGATGTCTTCCGATGGCGCCATCTTGTTTCCTTTTCTCACTCATCCGTGGTTTTCATGCACGACTCACCGTTTTGCGAACACTGAACAGCCCCCAGGTAAGACAGCACGATATGTGCATACGCGTGCATCTGTTGTGTGTTGTGTGATCCAACGTGTGTGTGTGTGTGTGTGTGTGTGTGTGTGTGTGTGTGTGTGTGTGTGTGTGTGTGTGTGTGTGTTTTGGACATTTCCTTTTCTGTCCTCTTGCGGTTGCACAATTACGAAGCCCCTTCCTCACCCCCCACGCGCGCACACACACACACACACGCTCACACACACACACACATACATACATACACACATACGCAATTGAAGGCTGTGTATGCTTCCCCTGAGGACGAGGAAGACAGCGGCGAGGAAGAGGCGGCGTCGGCACCAAAGTCGTCTGCACCCGCCCGTCTTCGCAGCGATGACGAAGACGAAGACGAGGATGAGGACGAGGACGAGGAAGAGTACCAAGCGCCCGAGGATGATGATGATGTGAGTTATGGTGGTGTTGGTGGTGTTGGTGGTGTTGGTGATGTTGGTGGTGTTGACGTTCTCTTTGTGCGCGCGTGTCTACACGCGTGTGCACGTGTGTGGATGGGCGTCTGCACATGTGTAGCATTCCTGCATTCCTATCTCACCTCTGCCCCACCGTTCCCCACCTCTTCCCAACCGCCAACACGTGTTCACCATATCAGGAGAAGGACGAAGACTTTTCGCTTGACGGCGGGAAAAAGCGCAAGCCGCGCGCTCGCACATCCACGTCCACATCCAAGCGAGCAAAGACAACGCCTGCCAAGCGTAACAGGAAGACACCAGCAAGCAAGGCATCAACAACGAAGGCGAAGACAAAGCCGGCAGGGAAGCAGCGCCGTGGGAGCGGACGGGCGGCGGTTGTGTCCAATGCAGTCATCTCGAGCGATGAGGAGTCGGAGGATGAGGACCACGCCACCGATCAGCCAACCTTGAAGGTGCACAGAGCCTTTGCTGTGGCGATGTTTGGTTGCTGACGCTCGGTGGTGTTGCGTGGTGTGACAACCGCTGTTGTTTGTCCTTATCTTATATCCTTGTCGAAGTTCACACACACACACACACAACACAACGCAACACACCACAACACAACACAATGCAACGCAACGCAACGCAACACACCATGCACACGTGTGCAGAAGCGTGAGGCGGCGATGCCGAGCGAGCTGGCGCCGCTCAAGTCGCACGAGGATGTGCGCGGGAACGACAACGAGGCAGAAAGCGAAGATGACGTGATTGAGGACGCAGAGGCGCCCGCAAAGAAGCCAAAGAAGCAGCAGCAGCAGCAGGCACTGAAGGAGAAGAAGGAAAAGAAGGAGCGTAAGCCGCGAGAGAAGGAGAAGAAGGAGAAGAAGGAGAAAGCGCCAAAGAAGGAGAAGAAGGCCCGGGCGCCGAGGAAGAAGACAGCGCCAGCAAAGCAGGACACCCCAAAGAAAATCACAGACGCCGGTGCGTGAGGGGGATTTCTTTGATCACGTGTGCTTGCGTGTATTCATGTGTGTGCGTGTGCGTGCGTGTTTTGTTTGTGAGTGTGTGTGTATGTGTGTGTGCGTGTGCGTGTGCGTGTGCGTGCATGCTTCGTGTGTGTATGTGTGTAGTGCGTGCGTACGTGCTTTGTGTGTATGCGTTTTCATCCCTCATCCACATGTATTGCATGCGCGTGACATGGGTTTTGCTCGTGTGTAGAGCGGTTGGGCCAGCTCGTCTCGGAACTCAAGCGCTGTCTTCCCTCCAAGGGCGACGTGAGTTGTGCTGTGACGATGACTCGTTTGGAGTGGAAGCGAAGGGAGCGGGGTGTGTATAGTGGAGATTACGTTCGCAGGCGTGGATGCACGTGTGATTGTGTGAGATGCGAGTTGTGTGCTTGTCATGCCACTCTGATGTTGCGTGTACCTGTGCACGCGTTCCAACACAAGCAAACCCACGCACCAACTCACCTGCCTCTCTGCCCTGCACCACACTGACCACACCATGTGTGTGTGTGTGTGTGTGTGTGTGTGTGTGTGTGTGTGTGTGTGTGTGTGTGTGTGTGTGTGTGTGTGTGTCCTCGTGCAACCGGCAGAAAGACGTGAGCGGTGCTGTCTCGCGTCTGAAAGAGATTGACGCACTGCCGCTGAGCCAGCGCACCATCACCGAAAACACCGACCACGTCGTCTCCATCCGCATGGTGGGTCGAGACGGGAGGGAGCGAAGACGGTGTGTGTGCGTGCGCGTGCGTGTGTGTGCGTGTGCGTGTGTGCGTGTGTGCGTGTGTGCGTGCGAGCCGAGTTCTTGTTGTGTGTGCGAGCCGAGTTTTGTTGTGTGTGCGAGCCGAGTTTTGTCGTGTGTGCTTTGCATCTTCTTTGCACCTTCTTCGCATGTTCTGACGTGCTGGAGACACCTGTTTTGCATCTGACACGCGTTGTCACCACTGTCACCTCGCCAGCTCCGCAAGTTTCCTGACCAGGCTGTGTCCTCTCATGCCAAGGCCATCATTGCCAAGTGGAAGGTGAGCTGTTGTTGCGATTGTAGCGGCGTTGTCTGTGCTTGCAAGCACCAGTAACACGCATCTGTGTGTGCAACCTCTCACGCCGCCTGTGCTGTGCTTGTGTGCGCGTGTGTGTGTGCGTGTGCGTGTAGACGATGGTGAAGGCGGCGACGGAGACGACTGGGCCGGCAAAGGAAGAGAAGAAGGAAGAGAAGAAGGAAGAGAAGAAGGAAGAGAAGAAGGAGAAGAAGGAGGAGGAAGAGGAGAAGGAAGAGAAGAAGGAAGAAGAGAAGAAGGAAGAGGAGAAGGAAGAGAAGAAGGAAGAAGAGAAGAACGAAGAGAAGAAGGAAGAAGAGAAGAAGGAAGAAGAGAAGAGAGAGAGAGAGAGAAGAAGGAAGAAGAGAAGAAGGAAGAAGTGAAGGAAGAAGTGAAGAAGGAAGAGAAGCAGGAGGGGGAGGGAGAGAAGAAGGGAGAGAAGGAAGAGGAGGAGGAAGCTAAGGACGCCCAAGACGAGCCGTCCAACAAGACCATAGCAGCAGAGACGACGGAAGCCAAGAAAGAAGAGACAGCAGCAGCCGCACCAGCGCCGGACACCGAACCAGCACTTGAAGCTGGAGACAAGAACGCGACAGCGCAGCCTGTCAGCAACGCCCGGGACACACCCTCCGTCCCGCCACCACCAGTTGTCTCGGCCCAGCAGTGATGGGCGGATGGGAACATCACAGTCTTCCACTGATGCTGTTGTCTCTGCTTGCCATATCTTGCTTGCCGTGTCTTGCTTGTCATGTGTTGGTCTGAGTTTTTTTTTTCGCTGCATGATCGCACCGTTTGTACTTGTGAACGATAGTAAACACGCTGTATTGTACTGAGATGGCCTGTACGCGGCAGCAGTCATCGTCATGTGTTGTTTTGTTTCAAGGAACGACAGCGCAACACTGGCGCTGGAAGCACTCTGGCCCAACACACACATCACCGCAAGATGCTCAAGCACAAGGGAAGTGCACACTCACATGCACGTCACACATGGGAAAGTGCACACTCACAAGCACGCCACACATCGCATCACAACATAACACGCGACACAAGTTAAAACACACACACACACACATGGGCAGATGCACGTCACACATCACACACACACACACATATCACATCACCACACCACAGTACACCCTACACATGACACAAGTTAACGCAACACAACAGCATGTGCCACACGACAAAGCCACGGCCGTCATCAGGTCAGCTTCGGCACGACTCACAGCGACAAGAGATGGTAAAAACACATGGCGTGCGTGGCACGCGGTCTGATAGGGAAAGGAAAAGCAACCAATGGGACATGATGATAGCGAACACAACATCCACCGCACCACCAGCGTCCATTGGCGAAACGCGTCGGGTTGTGAGGAAGGTTTCACATCACTTCACATCACTCTGTTCTGGATCAGTTTGTTTGGGGATCAGTTGGAGGGACGACAGCTACTCTCTTCAATGAGGGTGTAGCCGAGACCAGGGAACTCCACGCACACGCGCCGCTTGCTTCCAAAGTTGATGAGCGCAGTGGTGGAGTTGAATGCTGGCGCGGCATCGTTGCTGTTGTCGCTGTCAGGGCAGCCTCCACGGTAGGTGACCAGCTTGAATCGGCACTGGCGTGGGCTCTCATAGATGGTCGTCACTGCGGTGCAAGCGGTTGGGAGTTGCAGGGTGTTGGTTGTGGTCCATGAGGAAGGGCGGTTGAGGAGGCAGGAAGCGAACACGCAGGTGAACGAAACAGAAGAAATTCACACTCACATATCCAACAGCATGAGCGCGTGCAATGCACGGATAATACTTGCATGCACCAGGGCAGGCGTTACATGCACAGAGAGCACCCACATCACACATGTACAGCATGCGCATGTTGAGATGTACTTACGGTTGAATCCCTCGACACACTCGCCGGATGCGACACAGCTGCAACAACAAGCACGTTGCACATCATCGTGAGCCAACTTGAAGGACAAGCACCACTCAAAAAAAAAAAAAAAAGTACACACACACACACACACACACGCCCACACACGCCAACACACGCACACACACACGCACACACGCACACACACACGCACACACGCACACACGCACACACACACACACACACACACACACACACACACACACACACCACACACACACACACACACACACACACACACACACACACACACACCACCGACAAACAAACAAGCCCCCAGCACAAGCCGCAATGTGTGTCACGCACTTTTTCTGGTAGAAGACGTGATTGCAAGCGTCCCTATCAACCTCAACATCGAAGTCGCATTTCTCACAGATGGTGAAGCAGACGTTTTGTGCAGACACCACCGCCACCATCATCGCCGCTGCTGCAACAACAGCCAGCACCACACCCCGCCTCGCCATCATCAATCGCTCGCTGGTCGCCTTGTTCTCCTGTCTGCCTTCTTGTTGTCTTCTGCTGTGCTCCACCTTCTCTTACGATTAATGGTGTCCTGTCAAAATTGACAGCTGGACGCGGGTTGGTTTTAAACGGGCTTACCAAATGAGTGATTTGTTACATTTTCACTCTCACACGGTTGTGTCGTTTCTGCACACAAGCACGCACGCACGCAAGCACGCAAGCAAGGGCAAGGCAGAAAAGGCGAGCGAGAGTTCCACTCTTTCGCCGAACCAAACAAAACCAGGCAGGCAGAGAAAAAAAAAACGACGTTGCCAGTCTGGGAGGTGCGTCCACAGACCTGAGTGAGTGAGTGAGCGAGGGGGACATGAAGTGGACCACTCGCTGATGGATGGATGATGTGATGCGTGTGACACTGCGACATGCATACTTGCTACCCGCTGTCTTTGGCGTGGTTGTCACGAATGAGTTCCACCGTGCTGCCGTTTCCCTGCCTTGTGTGCATGTGTGCGTGTGCGCGCGCGTGTGTGTGTGTGTGTGTGTGTGTGTGTGTGTGTGTGCAACGACATGACCGCGTGCATGTTTCCCGCCATTGTTCACACAGATACCTGCCAACCTGCATGCCTTTGCCCTTACTGCAAACACAACCAACTGGACTGGTGCCAAACACGCATGCACAGAACTCCAGTGTACCAGCAACCAACGGGTTCTTGGGAGAACGCGCGCTGTTGTGTGCGTTTGAGTGTGAAATCCCCATCCGTGTTCGTCCAGCGAGGTTTTGAGGGAACAACACAAGCAAGGCAGACAAACCTTCTGTTCCTCCTCTGCTAGCCTCACCGCACACAACGCAAACAGCGCCAAGTAGGCCTCCTTCCTGTCACCAGTCCTTTTCTCTTGTCTCGTTGGCCCATCAGCTCAGGTAGCGTTGCTTGTGTGCATTGTTCTACCACTGAGAACACCTTTTCATCCATTCTTCCAGTCGTTGCTTCTATTCCACTGGCCTCCACCACAACCACTCCGTCTCTTCTCTCCCAGTTCCTCTGTATTTCTCCCCTTTCTTTTCCTCCCTCCCTCCACACACACACACACTCTCTCTCTCGCTCTGTCTGTCTGTCTGTCTGTCTGTGCCTGTGTGTATTTGTATCCCTTCTTCCCCTCTCCGTGTTCCCATCTCCGTGTTCCCCTCTCTGTGTTCCTTCACCGTCTTTCCCTCTCTGTTTGTGTCTGACCCTCTCGTCCATGAGCACGACACCTCCTCATCTGAAACATACCCGCTCCCCCCTTCTATCGCTTGCCCTGCCACAACCACATGCACCAGCCATTGAAGGGCATGGACTCCCGTCCAGAAGACAACCCTTTTGCACAGCAGGGCGCCATGGTGCCGCCCCAACACTATGATCAGCAGCAGCAGCAGCAGCATCAAACGACAACGGCGCCTGGGCAGCAGCCTCAGCAAATGATGCAGCACGCCATGAACGCCCACATGCCACAGCCCCAGCACCTGCCACAGCAGCAGCAACAGCAGCATCATCACCAAATGCAACCAGGCCACCTTCAGCACGGCGTGGCTGTCACAAGCACCATGGGTGCCACACCGGGCATGACTCCTGACGCGGTACGTGTTTGTGTGTGTGTGTGTATGCGCTTGTGTGCGCGCTTGTGTTTGTGTGTGCATGTGCTTGTGTGCGCGTGTGTGTTTGTGTGCACATGTACGTGTTTGTGCTTGCATGTGTGTATGTGTGCATGTGCATCAAAGGCGCGTGATTCGCTGTCACCTGTTGCGAACAATTTCCCCATGTTTACTCCTACATCATCTCCTATTCGTATCCACATTCATACACTCCCTCACTTCACTCACCCTCAACTTCAGGCCCAGCTGGCATGGACGCAGCCGTCCACCACATCTGTGCAAGCACACCAGCAACAGCCAGGTACGGCAGCCTGCTCGTGCCATGCTCATACCACCAGCGTGCTCTGTGACAGCACCGTACTGTTACGTGTGTTCATGTGTGTGTGTGCGTGTGTGTTCATGCGTGTTCTAACACTGCCTGCTTGTTCACCTGCCTTCACATCTACCTGCTGCCACCTGCCGCTGTTGGTTCTGCAGGCGTTTCCTCGTTTTCGGGATTTTCCGCAACGTCAGCCCACAGCACGCAGCAACAGCAACAGCAGCTGCCGTACGTTCACCACACACACACACACAGTTCTCGCCCCTCATCACTCAATGCACACACATACACATACACGTGCACATACACATACACGTGCACATCCACATACACACGTGCACGTACACACCATCAGTGGGGTAAGTTTTTTTATCAGTGTTCTAACTGATGAGCACCATGCTCCCTCGCTCCGCTTCTTGACAGGGGCGGACTGGGCACGTCGGCGCCAGCAACATCGACAACACCGGCGTCGACAGCAGCTACCGCGATGGGCATGGTCCAGGGCACCCCACACGCGCTGCACCAGCAGCAGCTGCACGCCGCACCCCATCACCAGCATCAACAGCAAATGCATCTGCAGCACCAGCAGCTTCGCCAGCAGCACCAGCAGCATCACCACCAACAGCAACAACTGCACTTGCCACCTGGCATGATGTCGATGGCACCAACCACCTCCTCCCTGCAGGGCATGCCTGGCATGCAGCTTGTCACGTCTGCACCAGCACAGGCCACGTCGGCGCCTGTGATGGCGTCCACCGCGGGTGGCACCAGCGTCGCCGTCACCAGCAGCGGGGCGCCTGCAGCAAGAGCGACTGTGACCTCGGCCACGCCCGCCTCCATTGCCCGCGCAGCTCCGGGCACATCGGCGCCTGCCACGACCACCATGGCTGGAAGCGGCGCGGTAGCCACGTCGTCTGCAGCGGTCACAAGTGCCGGCGCAAAGCCCGCCATGCCGGCGTCGTCATCGTCTGCAGCAACATCGGCAATGGCAGCAGGCGGCGACAACCTCACGGCAGAGCAGCGCGAGCAGCGCATGGTCGCGCTCACCATGACTTCCGTGCGTTTCTTGACCGTGCTTGCTTGTGTGTGTGTTGCGTGTGTGGTTGTGTACGTACGTGAATGCGTGTTTGAGAACGTGAATGCCTGCCTGTGTGCGGCTGCGTGTGTATGCTGTGAGTACATGCCTGCCTGTGTGCGGCTGCATGGCTTTTCCGTCTTCATCTCACGACTCCATTACCTGCCCATTCCCGTCACCACGGTGGTGCAGATGCAGCCCGGGTCTAGGGACGGCAGCGGCCAGCAGCAGCGCCACCTGCAGCACCAGCACCAGGGCCAGGGCGCGGGGCAGTCAAAGGCCCAGCACCAACAGGTGTGACTGAAATGCACGTGTTTGAATGCTCGCATGCATGTGAGTGAGTGTGTGCGTACGTTTGTATGTGAGTGTGTGAGTGTGTGAGTGTGTGTGAGTTTCGCCGCGGGGTTGTTTGCATCCACCCTTGACCTTGTTTGTTCCTTTCTGACGTTGTGTGTTCCTCCCTCCTCCCCTCATGATCTTCCTCTAGATGCCTGCATCTTCGCAGCAGTATGCGCAGCACATTGTGCACTCCCAGGCCTCTGGCGTGCCTTTCACCTCCGCGAGCATGAACCAGGTATGTTTGATCCTGACGCGTGTGCGTATGTGAACATGCGTGTACGCTTGATCTACAAAGCTCTCCCCTTTGTGCATCGGTTGTATGCCATGGGCGTCGTTTGTGGCGCTCTGTACAAGCGGCATGCCTAGCTCCATTACCCTTGTTTTTCTTCTTGATAATGTCATTTTATCGCCAACTCCCCCAGGACGGCTCCTCTGGCAACGTGCACATCAAGCAGGAGCAGGTTGGTTGCGCCCATGTACCGCCACAACCATGGCAGCTTCTTGTTGTTCTCGTTGGTTATTGGTTGCTCGTTGTGCCTTCAACAACTAGCCGCCCCCACGTTTTGTTGTGTTTTCGCCACCACTCACATGATGTCTCGTGCCCGTGCACCTGCTGCAATGCAGACTGCTGCTCTGACGGAGATGGCGAGCAACGGCGCCTTTGGCGGCCACCGCCGGCTCAAGGTCGAGGACGCCCTCACTTACCTCGACAGGGTATGTCTTGTTTGTTGGTGTTTGGCTTGCTTTTGGCTTGGTTTGTTTGTTCTTGTTCTGTTGGCGTTGTCGTTCTTGCTGCGCCCGTTTTGTCTGTGGCCGTGTGTGTGTGTGTGTGTGTGTGTGTGTGTGTGTGTGTGTGTGTGTGTGTGTGTACTCCGCATTGATAATGTATTCATGTCTTCTTTTCTCTCGCAACAAACAGGTGAAGGCGCACTTTGGCTCGCAGCCAACCGTGTACAACTCCTTCCTCAACATCATGAAGGACTTCAAGTCGCAAAAGTACGCACGTGTGCACAGCGGCACCCTGATGTTACCCTCTCGTGCTGCTGCGCCCGCTGATGTGTGAACATGCATTGATCGCCTTTTTGAAGATGGTTTGGGTGTGCCAATTGATTTGGTTGGATCTCACCCATACGTTTGATGTTTTGCTCTGTGTACTTTTCTCTTCTGCCTCCTCTATCCCTTCTGCCTTGCCCTCGCCAATTTCCCCGCGTGTGTGCCTGCTTCTCTTCTCATCCCCCCTCTCTTCTGGTTTGCAGCATCAACACGCCTGACGTGATCAAGAACGTCTCCCAGCTGTTTGAGGGACATCCGGAGCTCATTGTTGGCTTCAACACGTTCCTCCCACCAGGCTACAAGATTGAGATTCCCGATGAATCACAGGTGTGTGTGTGGAACATGTGTGTGCATGTGCGTGTATGTGTATGTGCGTGTGCATGTGTGCATGTGTGCGTGTGTGCGTGTGCGTGTGCATGTGTGCGTGTATCTGTGTGGATGTGTGTGGATGTGTGGGGAACATGTCTGCGCTTCCAACTCCAGCATGCAGCGCATGCATTTGTTCATTGTTCAAACATAACGCACCCACTTACCTTTACCGCCCCTTTTTTCCTTGCGCACATCTTCCGCTCGCCTCTGTCGTCCGCAGCCTGAGCAGATTGTTGTGAGCCAGCCGCGCAAGCAGCTTGAGTTCTCCCACGCCATCCAATACGTCAACAAGATCAAGGTGTCGTTCCTGCTGCGATCCACTGCATCCTTCAGAGTGCATGTGCTTTGCTGCGCTGTCGCTGTGTACCTCCACTTTCATGACCAGCACCATGACCATCATCACCAGCACCGTGACCATCCCCCCTGCCTGTACTCACGCAATCTCCTTTCCTGCGACACGTCCTTGCGTGCGTGCCTGTGTGCTGAAACACAGACACGGTTCCAGTCAAACTCTGAGGTGTACAAGACGTTCCGCAAGATCCTGGACACGTATCAGAAGGAGCAGAAGACCATCTCGGAGGTGTACGAGCAGCTCGCCAAGTTGTTTGAGAATCACATTGACCTGCTTGAGGAGTTTTCGCAGTTCCTTCCCGAGGCAATCCCGGCAGCCAAGGCGTACAAGGAGCGCCAGCTGCAGGAGGCCGCTCGCCAGCAGCAGAAGCGAAAGGCGGTGCGTCAACACACAAAGACTGCGCACGTGTGTGTATGTATGTGTGTGTGTACTTATGTGTTTGTAATGTGTGTCTAGCGTGGAGTGTGGTCCACGATCACGCTGATCGCTCCCTGTACCTTGTGATGTCTTGGCTCATTCACGAAACCCCTTTCTCTCTCCCTTGCAACCCCTCTCCCCGTCTCATCATGTCATTGACCGTGTGTTGTACATGACAGGAGGCGCCGAAGCAAACACAGCAGCGTGCTGCCGCAAGCGCCGCGGAGACAGATGAGGCGCAGCCGACCAAGCGTGCAAAGGAGGAACGGCGGCTGACAGGCGTTGAGAACAGGCCGCTTTCGAGCTACGTCCTCACCGACGAACTTCAGTTCTTCGACAACGTACGCACGCCCATGAACACGCAAACATGCACATGCACACGCATATGTTGCCTGTGTTGCCTGCAAGGCTTGCTCGGCCTTTTTCTGGCTTCGCCTGCTAAGTTAGCGCCACACGCCCCCCCCCCCCTTATCCTGCTCCTCTTGCCATTCTCATCTGTGTACTCTGGTCGCTCATACATGCCTGTCTCGTGTGCGTACATTCGATGTGTGTGTTCGCCGTTTCAGGTCAAGCGCCTGCTGCAGCCGCGCCCGCTGTATGACGACTTTCTGCGCTGCCTCAACCTGTACAACAACAACATCATCAGCCGGGAGGAGCTGGTCACGGTTGCATCCAACTTCCTCGACAAGTACCCATCGCTGCTGCGCTGGTTCCGCCGCTTTGTTGGCGTTGGCGACGACGGCGAGGTCCTTGACCCGCATCAGCACGACATTGGTCAGTCCAATTGTTCATCTTTTGGCGAGGAGGAGTGCGAGGGAAGCAGTGCTTTCTCTTCTTGCCATTGCTTGTGTGCTGTGTGCCTGGTTGTGTGCTCGCTTGACAGTATAAACCATGGCGTGGCTCTGACCACGTGACGACCACCCACGCCCTTCACATGGTGAATGGGGCTGTTCTCATCTTTTGTCTGATGTCCATCGTCACGTGATTGTCTCTCTCTCTCTCTCTCTCTCTCTCTCTCTCTCTCTCTCTCTCTCTCTCTCTCTCTCTCTCTCTCTCTCTCTCTCTCTCTCTCTCTCTCTATCTGTCTCTTTGCGCAGACCTGAACACGTGCCTGCAGGTTGAGGTGAGCTACCGCCGCCTGCCCGACGAGTTTCAGCACGCCCAGTGCAGCGGCCGCAAGAACATGGACCCATCACGTGAGTCGCTGCTGTCGGCCAAACTGACATGAGCTTTCACGCATCAGTTATTCTCCCATTAGATTTGTGCTTCATGTTAGCACAGCACACCAGTGCTTACTCCCACACTGTCAGTCTCGCCCACTCTCACCCCCGCATGCCCCTCACCCCACCGCACACCTCTCTGACTTGTCTTCACTCCCCCAGTGCTTGAGACGCTGAACAACCGCTACGTGTCGTTCCCGTCGTGGACGAGCGAGGACAACCAGTTTGTCACCGGCAAGAAGACGCAATACGAGGACAATCTCTTCAAGGTAATGCATGAGCTGCTGTTGTGTTTGTCAATAGCAGCTGCGAGCCCGGGAGCTGAGTGGCTCACGCTCACACGTCTTGTTGACCCACTAACTTCTCTTCCTTGTGTGTGTGTGTGCCATGCGCGTCCTTGCAGGCTGAGGACGAGCGGTTTGAGCTGGACATGCTGCTGGCAACGAACCAGTCCACCATCAACGCCCTGCAGACGTGCTACCGAGAGTGCAGAAGCAAAACAAACGCCGGCGAGACGTACACGCTCGACACAAAGCAATTCGGCACAAACAGCCACGTGAGTGTATGTGGTGTGCGTGCGTGCGTGTGTGTGCGCGTGCGTGTGTGTGTGTGTGCGTGCGTGCGTCATGTCGGTCCATGTGCGTGCTTGCGTGGCTGTGAGCGCACAGGCGAGCTCCGCCTTAGCTGTGTTCTTCGTTCATTGTCCCCCCCCCTTTTTTTCTTTGCTTGTGTTCGCTGTGCTGCTGTTTTGCTAACACGTGTCTGTGGCCATGTGCCCCCCTCCCCCACCTTCCTCCTTGTCAACTCAGGCGATCCACCACCGCAGCTTGAAGCGGCTGTACGGCGAGCACCTGGAAGAGGTCCTGAACGGCCTCGCCAGCAACCCGCTCAAGAACCTCCCCATCATCATCTCCCGCCTCTCCCAAAAGGTGCGCGTCTTCGTATTGCTGCATATTGCGGCATATTTGTTGCGCATTTCCTGTTGGTCCTCCTCCTCCTCCTCCTCCTGGTGCGGAGTCATGCACATGCCCGCTGCTCGATGCACGATGCTCACATGTGTGTGTGTGTGTTTGTGTGCTCGCCTCCCTTGCTGTTGGATGTCAACCGTGAGCAGCAAAAGGAGTGGAAGGAGGTGCAGTTCTCCTGGAACCGGGAGTGGAAGCTTGTGTTTGACGAGAACTACCTGCGTGCGCTCGACCAAATTGGACCCTCGTCCAAGAAGAAGGACTTGAACGAGCTCAAGCCAAAGGCCATTCGCCAAGGCTTCAAGGAGCAGGCCGAGGCTCGCGCTGCGGTGAGTTTGCACCCGCTGTGTGTGTGTGTGTGCGTGTCCTGCATCGTTCGCGCGCTGTGCTGTCGGCCTCTTGCTTCGTTCTAGTTTTGTCTGTCGTCTTGGGCGTTTGATATGCAAGCGGTGTACGATGTGCTTTGGAGTCTGGTGCCCTTGTTCTCACGCCTTGCTGCATATGCGTGCGCTTGCATGTAAACGCACAGTACTTTGCACGTCTGCAGGAGCAGGGCGCTTCTCCTCCTGGCGACGCCCCGCTTGCCCGCCGTGTCTTCGACCTCCCTAAGGTGCACACAGAGCGGCAATGCACGTGTGTGATTGTTCACGTGCATGTGTGTGTGTACGTGTGCGTGTGTGTACGTGTGTGTATGCTTGGTTTGTGTCTGCAAGGGAGTTGAGATGAAACATCCTTTCGTCCTCGCACACGCTCTCATTGATGTATCCCTGATCCACAACAAACATGCCTTGCGACTTGTTGCCTGCCAGACAAATGCCATGGATGCATTTTTGGAGCTGTTCAAGGCGGCCATGAACAAGCACGCCGAGAAGGCCTGCGACAAACAGCTCATGATTGTACGTCTGGTAACCCGACTCTGCCTCACTTGCGCTTGTTGATCCGCTCTGAGACTTAGGCCTTATCCGACACCCAAACCTGCACACACATACACATTACGAACACACACACACATATTACGAACACACTCACTCACACATACACACACACTCACTTACATGCTCACACATACACACAGGTGCTGTTCAAGACGATGGCTGGCTTTGTGAGAGGCGATGACATCTCGGAGGGTGTGTCTGCGCTGTGCCCTGTTGCACCCGCTGCCGCTCCCGCAGAGGAGGAACACGAGCAGCAGGAGCAGCCACAGCAACAGCAGGACCAGCAGGAGCAGCCACAGCAACAGCAGGACCAGCAGTCGTCGTCCCAAGATACCACAGCCATGGATGCATCACAGGACACCTCCGACAGTGCCACCACTGCCGCTGCCACCACCACAGAGGGCGGTGCCACGACCACCACGGACACGTCGACTGATGCCGCGGACACGTCAACAGACGCAGCAAACACGTCGACCACCACCACCACCAAGGAGGAGGACACACAGGAAGACAGCAAGGACATGGAGACCATGCCAGACGCTAAGACGACGTCCACTGCAAACGGTGCGCGTGTGTGTCATTTGCATGTGTGTCGTGCGCATGGCTGAATGTGCAAGTGGGTGAATGTGTGTTTGTGTGTGTACATGTGTACATGTGTGCATATGTGTGTGTGTGTACGTGTGTACATGTGTGCATGTGCGTGTAGTCGTGTGGGACATTGCCATTGTATCCCCCTCCCCTCTTCCCTCAAAACGAGGTGTGCCGGGATTACCACGACAGGAATTGCTTTTGAGGTGCAGCTGCCGGACCTGGAGGAGCGCCGCCGCCAGGCACCGCGATCCTTCTTCACCTCCACCAAATGGGCCATCGCCTTTGTCCTCTTCGAGGTCCGGCAGCGTTTGTGCATGTGCAAATGTGTGTGTGTGTGTGTGTGTGTGTGTGTGTGTGTGCATATGTGTACTTGTGTCTGGCACATGACAACGTCATTGACCGTCCTGCCGGTTCACGCCCTGTGTACGTGATGCGTGTGCGTGTGCTGTAGACGCTGTATGAGCGGATTGCGCGCGTGAAGGAGCTGTGTGAACTCACCAAGGAAGCCGCCAAGCTGCCTCCAAGCGAACTCGCCAACATCGACCCCGCCATCGCCCTTGCTGTCAAGCTCGAAGGTGAGTCGCGTACAACAAGAGAAACAAAACAAATATAAAACTGGTGCTTGTGTGTGTGTGTGTTGATAGTTTCTGCTGCACCTGTGTGATTCATTTCTGTGTGCCTCATAGATTTCGTTGCACTCGTCCCGCAGCCCTCACATTGTCCCTTTCTTGCCCTCGACCATTTCTGATTGGCTCGTGGCATTGACGCTGCAGGCGACGTGGCGAAGGACCAGCACTTTGAGCAGTTTATGGCCTGCACGAAGGACCTCATTGCGAGCCCGGCCGACCAGTCTGCCTACGAGGAGGCCATGCGCAAGATGTTCGTCACACACGCGCACCGCCTCTACAGCATCGACCGTCTCTTTGGCTACCTCTTCAAGCAGGTGTGTGTGTGTGTGTGTGTAATTTTGTGGTCGTGTTTGTGTTTGTACTTTTTGGGCTGCCAACACGCCCACACCCTCTCTGCTCCATCTGTTAATTCCTCACACACACATGCGCGCGCACACAAACAAACACACCTCTGCACGACCAGATGTACTCTGTTGTCCTGGACCACAGCAGCCTGCACCTCCTGAGGCTGCACCAGGAGCGGTTCGGCCAGTCTGCAGGCATCGGCTCTGCGTATCACAAGGCCGCCCTTGACCATCTCGAGGACAGGGCTGCGCTGTACAAGGTCACGCGCACGGGTGAGCATCTCTCCATCGAGCTCATTGGCGACGGAAAGGTCCCCTGTGATGACGACATCCCAGACAAGACGGTATGTTTTGATGCGCGTGCGTGTGTGTGTGTGTGTGTGTGTGTGTGTGTGTGTGTGTGTGTGCGTGCGTGCATGCTTGCGAGTGTCATACTGCTTCATGCCCTTTGCCTCAAGTTCTCATGCTTGTTTTTTTTTTCTTCGTTTGTTCACTCTTTCCATGTTTACGGCTGCAGAGCGAGTGGGCCAAGTATGTTGAAAAGTATGTGAAGTACGACTCGGTCGATAGCGACCTTCTTGACCAGGGCAAGGCCCCGCCATTCCTCACAAGGTGAGATACGCACGAGTTTTGCAACACGTACGGCACAAGACACGCGGCAGACACGCGATTACCCACCACCACAAGTGTATGTATTCGTTGCTCCAGTGCTGTTGTAGAAGATGCTCACGAGGGCGAACGAACAAACTGTGCTGCAGGTCATACAACCAGGCCGGTGTTCCACACGAGACGGCCATGGACGGGTGCCTCTATGTTGATCGCCTGAACGCCAGGTTCCTCCTGGGCGACTACCGCCTGCGCATGGCTCCAAACGTGCGTGACCTTCCGCAATGCCGCGTGTTTGTGTGTGCATGTCTTGTGATGTGATGCGAGGCTTTGCGTGCATGCCTGTCTGTGTAGGCGTGTGCGTGTGTGCGTGTGACGCCCATTGACTGTTTTTGCGCCTCGCCTTCATGGCCGTACTCACGTGAAGTTGCTGTGCTACCTTGCTCTGACGCCCGTGTCATCCCACTTCACCCCACTCCCACCCGTCACCCAGGGCTGGGATGTGTTTGCGCGCCCTGGTACCAACCGGTCGTGGTCTGACAAGAAGCACGTGGCGGCCTCTGCTGCGTTCCACCGCCAGATTGACCGCGCCCTCAAGCCCGAGCAGCGGGCTCCAGATGACAAGCTCTTCCTTGGGCCTCACGGTTGGTTGGAAACGCAAGGTGGTGGTGGCGGTCGTGGTGGTGGTGGCATGCACGGGTGCTGACTCCACGGCTCATTGTGATGCCTTGGGCGTTGCTCGCCACGAGACGATTGCTTTTCGCAATTTTCCGCGATGCTGTGTTTGTGGTTTCTCACGACGCATGCACCACCATGTGTTGAACGTGGTTGATTGGTTGATCGATTGTAGGCACACACATGTTCTCCACCAAGACGGTGAATGGCGTGACTGTGCGCATGTGCACGTCCGCCAACTCAACAGACAAGACAGATACGACAACGTCCAAGGGTGGGTTGCCTTGTACATGTGTGCGTGAGCGTGCGCGTGCGTGTGAGCGTGAGCGTGAGTGTGCGTGCGCGTGCGCGTGTGCGTGCGCGTGTGAATGTGCGTGTGAATGTAAACGTATCCGTGAACACAGAAACGTGCACATCTGTGCTTATCGTCTCCTGGGCAGCGGCTTACTCACATGGCTGTCCCCGTGTGGTGTTTTGGCATGATCGACAACAGGCTCGTCAGCAGAGGAGAGCGCGAAGCAGCCGGCCTCGTCGACTGCTGAAACAACACAGGGTACAGCCACTGATACCAAGGCCGAGGAGCCCAAGGCAGAGGAGTCGCAGAAGACGACCACTTCTGCCAGCCCACCTGCCACGACCACCGCTTGAAGGAGGCATGCAGCTGTAAACTACTGCCAGTCGTGCCGCTGTTGACAGGCCAAGTCTACCTTCGTGTACCCGTTTCGTTTCTCGCCCTCCGCCTTTTTTTTTCTGTTTCGTTTGCAGCATCATTTCCTCGACCCCCACGAACAACAACAACAACAACACCTGTGCTGCTTCTGTGTTTCTCGCGCTCTCTTATGCATCTGGCATCATGAGGTTTGTTCTTTTCTGTTGGTGAATGTGCATTGCACCGACTACACCTGTCTCCCCACGTTCTCCCTTCAGTCCATGCTCTCCTTGTTTTTGTCGGGGCTGATCGCTTGCCAACTCCAGTGCGCGCTGACCCTGTTGTGGATATTGCGGAGACAAGAGGAGCCAGGGGTGGCACATGTACGTTGGGTGTTCCCTTTGCTTTGGTGGTGTGTAATTGAAAGTGTTGGTGTTGGCATTGTGTGTCGGCGTGTGCTGGCCCATGCCCCTTCACGTTGCGGTTTGTTGTTGGCTTGTTCGTGTGTTTGTTTTGTCGGTTGATTGGTTGCTTCTGTCCTCCTCCTCTTCCCCCGCGATGCCTTCCTTCTTGCCCCGCCCCGCCCCTCACTATATTCTCTCTATTCCTCTCAACCTTCTCTTCTTCCGCCTTTGTGCTTCTTCATCTGACATGTGGCGTGTGCGGCTTTGAGCCCTTGCTGCTGCTCTGCTGCGCTTGCTGCATGTTCTCTTGTCCAGCCCTTGTTCTCTTTGACTGACCCTTACGCGTTGTTTATTGCTCACATGTTTGTGTACGTGTGTTGTTGATGTGCGTTTTGGACGCGTTGTTGTCGTAGCTGGTGGTTGTTTGTCCCATCCGTACGCGTGCGTGCGTGTGTGTGTGTGTGTGTATGTGCGCGCGCACGGGAAGCAACGTATTCAGTTGTCTCACGTTCTTCTTGTCTTCGCTTCATTCCATGCACTGCTTCAGCTTTTTCTCCCCTCAATACAACAACCAACCCATCACCACTGCTGCAAGAGCGTGGAAAGCACAATCGTTCTCACACAAGAAGCACACCAACTAACTCTTCATCACGAGGTTTGTGTTTCCATTGTTTCTCTGTCTTGAACCAAGGTCCACAACACCACAACAAGCCGAGGTGCAAAGTACAAAACATAGAACATACACACACACACACACAGGCAAGAAGCAAGCACATAAACGCAAACAAGAGAGATACAACCTAGCAGCCGCCGCCACAAAAGCAGTCAACTTGAAACAAGGGGGAAAGGAGAATGGCATGCGCCAGTTTTGAACAAGATGGAAGATGAAAAGGCGCATTGGGGAGGGGGGGGGGGTACGCATGGGCTGTTGTGTTTTGGGGGAGGGGGGTTGGCAATCACTGCCGTTGCAGCTCAGAAGAGGAGGGCGAGTTTCTTTTTCTGTTGCTGGCGCCAGAGTGGTAGTGCCTGAAACTCGACCTTGGTGCATCCGAATACTTGCACGAAGACATCGTCTGGTAAACACAGCAACAAGATGGCATGCATGTGAGTACAGGACACATTGCACCGCAACAACAGCAACACACGCACGCACACATAAACATACACATATAAACACACATATCACACGTACACGCACACACACACATATCACACGTACACACGCACGCACGCACAAACAGCAACACCTCAAACCCAGACATACAAGCGTTCTCCCATGCGCACACACAGTGCACACATGAACAAGCATGCGCAACAAACAACGCCTTACCGCTCAAGTATCGCTCCTTGCAGGCGAGGTCGATGCCAAGGCGCTTCAGCTTGCTGTGATGTGTCGTTTGCAACTCCCTGAGTGGCAGGACAAGCTCGCTGCTCTGGCCACCCACGTCCTTCTCGCCACTGCCACTGCTGTTGCTGCTGCTATCTGAGCCGCCCCGATCCTTTCTTCGGCTCAGGAAACGGCGCCACTGCACCGCAATGCAACAGCAGGACATCAAGTACACAGTGAGTTCATGAGATGAGGGAGGACACTGGTTTCCACATGCATACGCACGCACATACAAGTACAAGCATGCAAGTAACTAGACCATACATCTCCAACACACACATGTACACACACACACACATGAACACACATGAACACACACGCACATACATGTGCACACACACATGTACACACACATGTACACACACACACACATGTACGCACACACATGTACGCACGCACACACATGTACGCACGCACGCACACACACACACACATAGAAACGCCCGCACACCTTGCTGGGGGAGTCCGGTGGGGCGCTACCCTCGTCATGTGTCTGTGCGAGGGGGTCAAGTGCATCAGAACCACGTGATGGCTTGGGCGCAGGCCGCGGAGGTGTGCGCGGATTACTGCTGAAGGTTGTCACCCTGGATGGCGAAGGTGGTGGCTTTGCCGCAGCAATTGCCGTTGTGGTGGTGTTGCTGCTGTTGGTGGGTGGCGGTGCCATTTGGTCGCTGGCTGCTGTCGCCGGCTGTGCCGCTGTTGATGTGTCTGTGGATGAGGATGCTCCTGCCGTTGGATGACCAATGGTGATGGAGGGGCGGTTTGCCACGAGACTCATGCGTGGCGTCTTCGCGTCGACCATGCGCTCGTAGCTTGACTTGCGCACCAGCGCAACAGGTTCGCTCGCACGCGCTGTTGCCTTGGCGCCCACACTGCCATCTGCAGGCGACGCAGAGATGCTGGACTTGGCCGTTGCCACTCCAGACGGTGATGAGGGTGTATCGGCAGGAGTGGCAGAATCCTTGCTCGAACGCGTTGCTGCTGGCGGCTTGAGTGGCTGAAGTTCGTGCTCCTTCTGTCGCTGCTCAAACATGGCGCGAACAGCCTGCACGTTGCTTGTTCCATCCGAGCACAAGGACGGGCGCGGCGATGTCACGACAGGTGGAACGAGCGACAGCTTCTTGCCAGGCTTTGACCCGCGCTCGGCCAGGCGCTGCTTGAGGTCTTCAATCACGCCACGCGGGGCCGCTGCGGTTGTGGACGGCGCCAAGGACGACGAAGAAGAAGATGCAGTTGTTGCCGCCGACTGCTGCTTCAAGCGCACAACTGAGTCAACACCAGTCTGGTTTGCCCGTTGCTGTTGTTGCTGCTGCTGCTCGCGGCGTCGAAGCATGCCGGCAGCGGCAGCGGCAATATCGCCTGCGGTCATGCTCGTTGTCTGCGTTGTCATGCTGCTGTCGGACGCGCTGCTCGTTTGGTCGCTGGCGTCGCTGCCAGCAACAGACGGCGCTGGTGGCATTGGAGGTGGTGGCGGCGGCGGCGTAGCAGATGAGGGTGGTGAGGGCCCACGCTTCGTTTTCGCAGCTGGCGACGGCGGCGCTGAGGATGCCGGGGACGTGGCGGTGCTGGATGAGTCATCAGTGGCCGTGCTGCGGCGCTTGGAGAAGAGCTTGCGAATGGACCG